CGAGGCGGCGACGGGGCGGCGACGGCGACAACATAGCCACCAGGCCGTCACACCAGCCAGGTTCCTTGGAGGAGAAGTCAGAAACCTTAAGTGCAAACACTGTTTGGGTACAACTTTTGTCGGGCCCTGTGAACAGGGAATTTGGAGGGAAGGTTTGTTGCAACATCTTTGATGCGTTTTCGGTTTACTCGGGTCCTCATCCCCGTCCGCGACGACTGGACTCGCCTCATGGCCAGCGAAGGCACCAATCACGGGTTTGGACGGCCGCGTGCTCACGGCCCGTTCGATCTCATTCGACCTCCAGAGCTGAATGGCGCCAAGACCGTCGCCCTGCCCTGCGTTTGCACTCCACCGCCGAGCTTGGCGCCATCAAGCTCGAGCACGACCGCCTCGGCCTCACCGACGGAGCCGACTTCGCCCTGCCCTCCGCCGCCCTGCACCGCGACGTCGAGGCCAGGTGGCGACCTCTGGCGGAGCCAGCGGCAACGACGCCCCGTCGACCCGGGCCAGGCTCCGTGCACGCCGCACAGCTCCTCTTGGGGCCCTCGGTCCTCCGAAGGAGCTGCAGCGGAGACGGCCTTCTCGCGCTTGCAGCGGAGACGCCCTCGAGCTCTGAACGCCGCACAGCTCCGCAGGGGCCAGGCGGCGACTTCTCTGGCGGAGCCAAAGCGGCCACGACGCCCCCCGACCCGGGCCAGGCTCCGTGCACGCCGCACGGCTCCGCAGGGGGGCCCTCGGTCCTCCCAGCCGCCGCGCCCGCCCCACGCGGCCCCCGGGGGGAGGCGACGGCGGGTCCTCCAGGGGACACGAAGGGCGCTCTCTCGGCATCGCTCGGACGTGTGCATTTTTTCTCGGCGAGAGCCATCGAGGACCATCCTGGACCGTCGAGCAAAACAGAAAAAGCACGCACGAAACCGCCAAAGGCACGGGAAGTGGACGTCCGAGCGACGGCAAGCTCTCCCCACGGGGCGCAGGCACGCCGCCCAGGGAGAGCGGTGGAGTGGTCAGCGCCTCAACGCGCAGATTGGCAGCCAATCTTCGGCCACGAGGAGGTCGACGCGGCGAAGGGCACGCGAAACGTCAAGGAGCACGCGCCGACCGGTGAGGCGCTCCTCGTCGGTGCCCCCACGAAGCCCGCCAGCCGCAGCTTCCCGGTCGGAGTCCGCGCATCCTCGCCGGGCCCTGGCTGCCTCCCGCGCGTGGCCTGGCTTGCGCACGACGCCTCCCTTTTGTCAGCCTCGAGGACCCAGCCTTCTTTTTCTCAGCTCAGGCCAGCACTTCACTCAAAGCCTTGACTGCTCCGACTTCGCCTTCTTGCCGAAGGGGGGACAGCGCGCTGGGCGAGCTCTCTACTGACTGAGAGCCTGGCGACACGCGCCTGCTTTTGCTCAAAACGCAGACATCAAGGCCATCGCTGGCGCCGCCAACTTCCAACTCGAGGCCGCCATCCAGCAGCGTACTCACCAAGCTCAGCAGGGCTTCGTCGCGGGCCGCAGCTTCACAAAGCACATCGTCCGCCTCGACGCCGGGATGCGCAGTGCAGGAGTGGGTCGCGGTTGCTCTCCCATCGCTTGGTAGGGTCCGGCTCTTCCGCGCTCTCGAGCGCTTCGACCTCCCGCTGGGCCGCCTCGGCCCTTTCGGCGCGCTGCACTTCGCCCCGAACAGCCTCGCGATCGAGTCCACAGTGGCTCAGATCTGCCCTGCCAGCGGCTCGGCATGGGCCATCGCCGTGGATCCACTGAGGTGACACGTCACTGGAACGTCCTGACGGTGCTCCAGAGCTGAACCAAGGCTAAGTGGGCGGCTGCGCCGATGATGTGGGCCTGCTGACGTACGACCTCAACACGCTGCGCAAGATTCCTGAGCCTTTTCGGGTGGCCGAGAGCCTCGCGCTGCTTTCACGTAAGCTTCGCAGGTGCGTAGCAGACTCGCTCCGGGACTCCGCCTCCAAGGCCACCATTGCCCAAACCGAGGCCCACCTGGCCGAGCTCGGTGCCTCCTGGGGCGTTTTTTCCGGTCGAGGTGCGAGCCGAATACCTCGGGGTCTTCCTGGGGCCGTCGGATTTTCTGGGCTGCCAATGGCTCGCTCCTGGGCCAACATGATCACTCCAGAGCGGCAGCGACGCCACAGTTCGCCTATACAACACATCTTCGATCACTACCTAGAGACCAGAGACCAGTTATGTCGCTCAACTTTCCCGCTTGACCAGCGGATTGCGCGCCTTGGGCGAGCTGCAGACCCGCCCAGGAAGCCCGAAGTACAGAGGGTGGTCGCTGACTCGCCTCGCGCCTCCACGTTTAATCGCTACATAGTCGCCTCATGGCCTAGGGCGCCGCATCACCGCCGCCGCCTGCTGAACTCACTGCGCGGTGGCAAGCTCTCACCGAGTTTCCAAAGGATGTGCGCCCGAGCTGGAGATGGGCCACCTTCAAAACTCTCAGCAGTTGGTGGGCAACGCCCCACCGCATGCATGTCCTCGTGCAGCGCAAGTGCGTTTCCAGATGCGCCGAGACACCAGGTGTATGTCCCCTTTACCTTTCCTGCTCCGTCCTCGCGAGCCTCTTCTGGTCCCGTGATTCGCCTCCACTCCACTGCACGCTCACATCATAGGCCCTCGGCCCTGCGGCCATCAGCGGCCGCGTATCCAGATACACGAGAGAGTGATCTCTCCCTGTTTCGTACAGTCCAGCGGTTTCCATTCGCTTTTAATGTTTACAACAAAACGAAATAAGCTGATCGCCCATGGAGCGCGTTTCACGGGCGCTTCTCTTAGGAACATTCGGCGCCGCGTTTGAACTGGGGGTGGTCCCTCCGAACATTCGGCGCCGTCTAACAGAACCAGGGGGTTTTCCCTCCCCCCTCCGCCCCCTCCGAAACCCCCCCTCCCCCCCCCCCCGGCGCCGGCGCCAGTGCCGGCGTCGTCGTCGTCGTCGTCGTCATCGTCAGCGTGGTCGTGGCCGTCGTCGTCATCGTCGCCGTCGTCTTCATCGTCGTCGTTTTCGTCGCCGCGTCGTCGTCGTCGTGCTCGTCGTGCTCGTAGTCGTCGTCGTCGTCGTCACCGTGGTCACCGTCGTCACCGTCGTCGTCGCCGTCATCGTCGTCGTCGTACAGTAGTCGTCATCGTCGTCGTTGCCGTCGTCGCCGTCGTCGTCGCCGTTGTCGTCGTCATCGTCGTCGTCGTCATCGTCGTCATCGTCGTCGTCGCCGTCGTCGCCGTCGTCGTCGTCGTCGTTGTCGTCGTCGTCGCCGTCGTCGTCGTCGTCGTCGTCACGGTCGTCACTGTCGTCACCGTCGTCACCGTCGTCACCGTCGTCGTCGTCGTCGTCATGCTCGTCGCCGTCGCCGTCGCCGTTGCCGTCGCCGTCGCCGTCTTCGTCGTCGTCGTCGCCGTCGCCGTCGTCGTCATGCTCGTCGCTGCTCCCCACCGCCGCCGCCGACAGCCGCCGCCTGTGCTGGCGCCGGCCCGGGGGGGGGCATGGGGGGGTTCGAACCTTCCCTCCCCGAAGTGGAAGAAGGGGAGTGGAAGAAGAAACGCTCTTAACCACCTCCGCACAGAGTGTCAGTGGGATTATTCTTCTTCGTCGTCTTCTTATGTTGTTCCTTATTATTTGTCTTATTATTATCCCCTTCCCGCTTATTATGTTTCTTCTCCTTCTTTCTCAGATTCCCCTCGTTCGGCTGTGTCTCCTGGCGGCCTGCTGCTGCGCGCCCGTCTCATTTGCCGATGATTATTATTGTTAGCATTTGTATTATCACTGGGCTTCTTATTGTTTATCTTGTTCTCTTATGTTTATTAAGACGATGTGCATTCGTAGTAGTAGTAGTGTAGTAGTAGTAGTAGTAGTAGTAGTAGTAGTAGTAGTAGTAGTAGTAGTAGTAGTAGTAGCTGTTGTTGTTGTTGTCGTTGTTGTTGTACTAGTAGTAGTAGTAACAGCAGCAGTAGTAGAAGTAGTAGTAGTAGTAGTAGTAGTAGTAGTAGTAGTCGTAGTAGTAGTCGTAGTAGTAGCAGTAGTAGTAGTAGTAGTAGTCGTAGTAGTAGTAGTAGAGTAGTAGTAGTAGTAGTAGTAGTAGTAGTAGTAGTAGTAGTAGTAGTAGTAGTAGTAGTAGTAGTAGTAGTAGTAGTTGTAGTAGTAGTAGTAGTAGTAGTAGTAGGAGTAGTAGGAGTAGTAGTAGTAGTAGTAGTAGTAGGAGTAGGAGTAGGAGTAGTAGTAGTCGTAGTCGTAGTCGTAGTCGTAGTCGTAGTCGTCGTAGTCGTAGTAGTAGTAGTAGTAGTAGTAATAATAATAATAGTAGTAGTAGTAGTAGTAGTAGTAGTAGTAGTAGTAGTAGTAGTAGTCGTAGTATGGGTTTCAATAGATATATTTCCATTGTGAATAGCACAGCTCTTTCCCCTGGCGGCCTGCTGCTACGCACCTATTCTGCTTATTATGTCTCTTATCCTTAGTATTATTCTGACTTTCTTATCATTGTAATCAATGTTGTTGTTGTTGTTGTTGTTGCTGTTGTTGTTGTTGTTGTTGTGGTTGTTGTTGTTGTTATTGTTGTTGTTGTAGTAGTATGTATCTTCTAATGCATTAGTATTGTATGTTGTTGTTGTTCTTGTATTTGTGCTATTGTTACCCGTGTAATATATGTTACTGCTATGCTATTCGTATTGCTCTTATTCTTATGTTTCTTCTTTTTATACGTCTACTTCAGGTTTCCTTCGTTCGGTTCTGTCCCCTGGAGGTCTGCTGCTGCGCGCCAGTCTCGTTTGCCGCGTTCGTGGTTCCAGGGTGGATCGGGACGCCATCTGGCAGTTGAAGCTCGACGAGGGTTTCACAAAGGCGGTAATCAGTAGCATTCCGATTGGCCTTCTGAGGCCCACGGGACGGCTCAGTAACCAATTCGGCGAAATGGATCAGAATACACGTCAGAGGGATGGTGAGGGTGCGGGGGAGAGAGAGGGAGAGCGGGAGGCAAATATGCGCCTGAGATGACCTTGAACAATGTCTGCGTCATGACGGGGCCTTGGATGAGCGCTATTGCCACATTCTTCCTGGCCATGACCGCGGCGGAGTGCTCAGAAAGCACCGGGGTGGGCGTGGTCGCGGCCTTCGTGTTCGCCGGGATTCCAGCGCACCTCATGCGTTCAATGGCAGGAGAGTTCGACAACGAGGCCCACGCCATGATGTGGTTCTGTGCGACCTTCTACTTCTGGTGCCGCTCTCTGCGCACGATCCGATCATGGCCCTGGGCCCTGCTCGCCGCAGCGTGCTACGGCTGCTCCGTGGCCACCTGGGGAGGCTACATCTTCGTCAACAACCTCATCGGCCTCCACGCCGCGGTGCTCGTCGTGCAGGGCAAGTTCAACTCCGGAGCCCACCGCGCGTATAGCCTGTGGTATGTGCTGGGCACTGCGGCTGCCACCTTTGTGCCTGTGGTGGGGTGGACGCCCTTGAAGTCCTTGGAGCAGGCTCCAGCCGCGCTCGTCTTTTTCGTATACCAGCTGCTGGAGCTCTGCGACATGTACCGGCGCCGGCAGAAAAAGGGAATGCAGGGCTGGGAGTTCTTCCTCTTCCGAGCCAGGGTGTTCGCTGGCATGTTTGCAGGTGCCCTCGTGGTTTGTCTCATACTGCATCAGATGAACTACTTCTCGCCGCTGTCCTCCCGCATTCGTGCGCTCTTCCTGAGACACCAGCGCACGGGCAACCCGCTCGTGGACTCCGTCGCGGAGCACCAGCCCTCGAACGCATCCTCCTACGAGACCTACCTTGGCGCGTCGAGGCACTTCGCGGTCGTCGGATTGCTCCTGTGCTGGCACCAGCGCACGCCCGCGAAGAGCTTCCCGTTCATCTTCGCGTGGGTCGCGTACACGTTCTCGCTGAAGATGAGCCGCCTCATCTCGAAGAAGAAGCGCCAGCACACACATGAACCTTTGGAGATCCGCGCAGATTACTCGGCCCTCCCCTGGCGCGCTCCGCGCGCCAGGGAGTGAGGTTCCGCGCCGATCCAGGAGATCTCGTCGGTCGTTAAAAGTAGGTAGTTCTGGATCCCCAGACCCCAATCTACTTCAAGTGCCTTCCTGCTTCAAGAACCGATCTGCTTTTGCTGCGTTGTGTTATTCTCTGGGAGGCCATGAGCCCGATCTACTTCATCCGCCTTCCTATTCCATGTTTTTACCTACTTCTTCCGACCGACGGTTTATGCTCGTGCTGGTTTTCCTTCTTCGATCATCATCATCTGCGGGCCCGTGTGCAGCATGCTGGCCGCGTACCCCGTCGGGATCGTCTACGACTGGTGCCTGGAGCAGCTGGTCCCCCGGCGGCGCGCGGAGCGGGGCTCGGCATCGCTCGGACGTGAGCATGTTGTTCTCGGCGAGGGCCACCGAGGAGCACCCCGGGTCATCTGGCAGAGCAGGAAGGCACGACATCGAAGCATGCACGGGGAATGGACGTCCGAGCGATGGCGGGGGTGGGTGGGGGGGGGGGCCCTCCGACGCTGCGCACCCCCGCCCCTTCTGGAGGCCCTGCGGACGCCACCAGGGAGGTCGGGCGGTGGCCGGGCAGAACATGCCCGCGCCCATCGCCTCGCGGCGGGGGGTGACTCAGAAGTACCGCCCAGAGGATCGATTCCCGCGGACCTCCGAAGGCGGTGGGCGTGGATATAGTTTGGCCCCCCGGGGCCCGAAGATATCCATATCCGCTGCCCGCTGGGTCCGTAGGACGTCGGTTCCCGGGCGGTGGATATGGACTGATCTCGGGTCGGGCGAAAGGGGGGGATTGGGAAAGGGGGGGTTACGAAATTTGCTGCATGCAGCTGGTTTCGGCCTCACCGAGGGGCCCATTCCTCGATACATAGCCGCCTCCGGCGCCGGGAGGCGCCGGGAAAATCAGCTACGTGAGCTGATTCTCAAATCCCCCCTTTGCTATCCCCCCCTTTCGCCCGACCCGATGATCGCCGCCTCGCAATCGCGCCAAGACGGCGACGATGTGCATCCAACAAACCGACCGCCCCCTCCCCCCCGCCCGGGGGTGGTCGGCGGCCCGCGCGAGGCGGCGCGCGGAGGGCAAGGAGCGGGCGCGTCAGCTTTTGGGCCTGGGCGGGAGGGGGGGCGGGACATACCTTCGGATGCAACTCCTGGGAGTTCAAAGTCTGACTCTGCCCCGGTCCGAACTCTGGCCGAATCCTGCTTACTCCCGCTTAGTCCGGCCTAAGCTGGCTCAGTCCCACTGAATGGCGCTGAGTCCGCGGCCTAGTCCAGCGGAGCAGCCCCCCAATGGAATCGCGAAGTCTCCCTAAGCCTTCCGACGAAGGCCTCCCAGCAGTTGCCTCCTGACATACGTTGCACGCACGTGCCATTGTCTGCATGCCATGCGTGTGGACACTTTTTGTCGGGCCACCGGAGGGCACCCCAGCTGCACGCTCGGAGACGCTCGGCGGTTCAAAGGTGGGGCTCTGCGGGATGGGGGGCCCCGAGGACAGGAAAGAGATCTCCCGTCCCCGATGAGAGGAAGGAGATCCCCCATCCCTGGGGGGCCCCCTCTCGAAGCAAAGTCAAGAAGAAGGCATACACATAGTTTCTCGGAGGTCCGCGCGGAGTATCGGCGCTCCGCGCGCCAGGGAGGGGGGTCCAGCGCCGATCCGAGAAATCCGTGCGGCCCTCCGACAGTTTGTGCTTATACTGTTTTTGTTCCTTCCTCGATGATGGGCACAATCCTGCACCACCCGCGCGACCGAGGTGCTGGCGCAAACTTCAACGCGCCCCCCTAGGAGGAGGAGGAGGAGGAGGAGGAGGAGGAGGAGGAGGAGGAGGAGGAGGAGGAGGCCCCCGATTCAGTGCTGCCTCTCATCGCCAGTGGGGCGCAGGATTTCGGCCGGTTTCATCTGGCCAGCAGGCCGTTGCACCTGGCCGGCAGGCCAGGAGCGGTGCAGATGTGGGGCCGGCGCGCTCCCGAGAGGGGCCGACTCCTTCCGGTGAGAGCCCACCAGCTGCAGGGTGAGCTGCCCTGACGTCCTCGACATGGTCGGCGACTCCAAAGGGTGCGGTTTGCAAAGGGGATGGTTTGCAATCGGCACCCTGGGGGGCACCATGGAGGGCGGGCGGGTGCCTCGCTAGAGTTCTCCGCCGCGCCCCGAGGAAGCCCGACGAGGACAGTGTCGTGCCCTCCAGGCCCCCACGGCGCCGATCGCAAACCACACCCTGGCGTAACCGCACCCTTTGCAGTCGCTGGTGCGGGCCCACCCGGGTCCCCCGATTGCCGAACGCGAGGCGGCAGTGGCGTCTTGCGCGCTTGTGTTTGGCCTCCCCGCGGCCCCCAAGAGCCGCACACCAAATGCAACTCTTACCCAGGGTCACCCCTGCACCCCTGCGTGTAGCCGACATCCGAATCCGCCGCACGTCGGTTGACTCTCCGATTTGACATGTTGTTGGATTTGCTCCCCAAACCATGCGAACATCCACGGAGGAAAAACTGCATACGCATAAACTTTCGACGGCCCGCGCGGATCTCTCAGATCGGCGCTGAGTCCCCCTGGCGGCGCCTCTGGCGCCGCTCCCGGCGCGCTCCGCGCGCCAGGGAGGCGGGGAGTCCAGCGCAGATCCAAGAAATCCGCTCGGACCGTCGAACATTTACGCTTACAGTCGGGGCGTTGACCTAAGGAACCCTAAATAAGGAACGAGGCCCCTATTTTCCATGAGTTGAATTTCGATTTCAGATCGAAAACCTAAGGAAAACCTAAGGCAAGCTGCGCAACAATTAAGGAACACGGAGCCCCTCCCCAATGAAAAGGGTTCCTTCTTCAGCGCCCCGACGGTATGTTTTTTCCTCCCCTAGCACCCCAAACGATGCGAAAAAAGGTACGGCCGAGGTGGCCGCCTCGGAAGCCTGGGGCGGCCATCCCCGCAGAACGTGGGGCAGGGGCAGCAGCAGCAGCAACGTGTGGGGCGGGACTCGGCATCAGAGGAGACTGACAGGTAGGGTCAAGTCGGGCCTGCCCCTCTGCAGGAGGAACATCCAAAAATAGTCAAAACAATAGTCAGGGGACTATTTTTTTGAGTATTTTGTTTTGCCATTTGGGGTCATTTTTGGAGCATCTTTTTTGTTCTTCGTTGAAAATCGTCCTGTAGGGGGACGCGCCCGACTTACAGGTACGGCAGGTTTGCGTCGTGTCGACCGGCGGCGACCCCGACGCCGGCGTTCAACGTTGAACGCCTGCGGCGGCCCAGAATCGGTCGATGTTGAACGATCGGACGTGGCGGAACGGGCCGATCGTTCAAGGTTGAACGATCCCCGCGGTGTCAGGAACCAACGCCTGGGTCGTCACGACACGAACCTTTCGTAGGGCGGACGTGCCCGCCCCACCCGCGGCATCACCCAGCGTGGGACCCGGAGGCGGTGAGGCGCGCCAGATCCGCGGACCCCCAACCTGTGCCGGCGTGCGCCCGGCTGGCTGGCACGGCATCGCCGCGGCCCGGCCCTCGTCGTCGTCGTCGTCGTCGTCGTCGTCGTCGTCGTCGTCGTCGTCGTGGTCCTCGTCCTCGTCCTAGTCGTCGTCGTCGTCCTCGTCGTCCTCGTCGTCCTAGTCGTCGTCCTCGTCGTCCTCGTCGTCCTCGTCGTCCTCGTCGTCCTCGTCGTCCTCGTCGTCCTCGTCGTCCTCGTCGTCCTCGTCGTCCTCGTCGTCCTCGTCGTCCTCGTCGTCCTCGTCGTCCTCGTCGTCTTCGTCGTCGTCCTCGTCGTCTTCGTCGTCGTCCTCGTCGTCCTCGTCCTCCGCGTCCTCCTCGTCGTCGTCGTCGTCGTCGTCCTCGTCGTCCTCGTCCTCGTCGTCTCGGTCGGGCTGCCCTTCCGGCGCTGGGCTCCTCGCCCTGCCAACCTCCCCCCCCAGTGCGCCACAGGTCGGCCTCGCCTGTGGGCCGCGGCCCGCGCGGGCGCAGCCTGCGCCGCCGCCGCGGACCGGAGGCAGTCGACAACGGCGGGTTCGTGTCGTGTCGACGCGTGCGGCGACCCCAGCAGTGTCGACCAGGCGTAAGAGTGACCTTTCGCCGGAGTGACCGTTGGTGCGGGCAGAGGTGGGCCCCCGGATTGCTGAGCGCGAAGCGGCAGCAGCAGCTAGCGCGCCTGGATCTGGCCTCCCCGCGGCCCCCCCAGAGCCGCGCACCAAAGGTCACTCTTACCCAGGGTCACTCTGACGTGTAGCCGAAGCAGGGGCAACGATGGGGAGGGGGATACCGGCGGCGAGCGAGGGGGGGAAGTGAGAAGGAGAAGGCCTTCTCAGGAGGCGGCGGGGCTTCTCAGAAGGCCTCCGGCCTTCTGAGAGGCTTTTTATGTCTTCGGGAAAGACTTCGAAGACTTCTCAGAAGGCGGGGGAACTTCCGAGCCTTCTGAGAAGGCCCGCCCCTTCTCACTTCCCACCCTCGCCCGCCGCCGAGGACAGGCGTAGGGGGGGGGGATGCATCGACCCCCAACTGCCCATTGATCGCCGCCCAGGAACGTGCGAAGTCGCTATCGGGGGACTATCGTGCGGAGCTCCTTTTCGAGCCCGAGGAGGGGGGGGCGGCGGGTGGGGGAGGTCAGAGTTCTCTTGGGAGTTTCGGTTTCAGGCGGCGCCCTGATTGAGAGGGTGACCGCGGAAATCCCGTTCTCAGTCCGTCGGGGGGTGGGCTTTTTTACCCGTTTCAGGGACCACACTCTGGGTCGTGACAGCGAGGCGATTGCGAGTATGTAGAGCTGAGTGTCAAGGAATCTTTTCACTGGCGAGCGAGTTCACACATCGTGAAACAGCCCTCTATGCTGCCTAATAAAAAAAATTCAATCGCCAATCTATTGGCGAGCCCTGGCCTCCAGTCCCAGGCAACTTGTTGCCCTTGGAGCCTGTTCGTCAGCGGTGCACTGCAAAAAGCCAATCTATCGGCGATGTACCGCCGATTCCGGGTCGATGTGTCCCCCCCATGCCAGTCCTGCCCTATCGTTGCCCACCACCAGCGCGGGGGGCGTTCAAGCTTGAGCGCCGCCTCTGGCCCGGCATCGGCCGTTATCGAGCGAGGAGCGCCACCAGAAAGCCCTGAGCGTTTGAGATTGAACGATTCGCGCGGTGTCAAAAACCGACGCAAGAGTCGTCGCGACACGAACCAGTCGTACACGCAAGAGTGACCTTTCGCTTGAGTTACCTCTGGTGCGGGCCCGCTGGGATCCCCCGATCGCTGAATCGGATGCGCTGGCAGCGGCTTGCGCTCTCGGGTTTGGCTACCCCGCTCCGCGCCCCCCCCCTCCCCGAAGCCGCGCACCAAGGGCCGCTCTTGCCCAGGGCCACTCCTGCGTGTAGCCGAGGCATGGGCTCCATCCTCGCCGTCCTCTGGAAGATATGGCCGCAGGCTGCAGGGGCTTTCGGGTGTTTTCGTCGATTGCCGGTGGTCTTCCTCGGGGACCGAGTGATGGCATACACCTTAGGCGATGCTGAAGAAAACTTCAATTTTCGGCCAGAGTCTCGATTATTCTTAATGTTTCAATGTAAATCCTAAGATTTGAATGGGAATTTGGGTTTTTTATTCAAGTTCTGAGACTATGAATTTCTTAACCCATAATTTCTTAAGCATTTCGCAGGGTGCACACATTGTAAACCTTCGGAGGGCCGCGCGGATTTTTTGGGATCGGCGCTGGGCCCCCTGGCGGCGCCTCCAGCGCCGCACCGCCCCTGGCGCGCTCCGCGCGCCAGGGAGGGGGTCCAGCGCGGATCCGAGAAATCCGCGCGGACCTCCGAAAGTGCATGTTTATGCAGTGTCGCAGGCCTAGAGATTGACACCAACACCAATATCGGCGGTGTGCATCCACCGAGGAAGAAAGATCCCGATCTCGGTGATGGTGGTAATATTCTGGCTTCAAAGGTGGCCGAAATATTGCCACCAACACCGAAATCGAGGATCGTCTTCCCCCTGTGGAGGCAACCCCTTGTGTTGTTGTTGGTGCCCATTTCTAGGCCTCCAACAGTGTCCTTGCTCCTCTCATGTCCGTCGGTCCCCAGCGGTCTTCCAGCTTCGGGACGCGCTCCCGCGGCGGCGCCCTTGCCGAGGGCGTCCCGCGGGCGCCCGGATCGTCCCGAGCGGCCGCTGGAGAAGCCGAGCCATGGCCCGAAAACCACGGGGGGGGAAAGTTGCCTTGCGGAAGACGAGCAATGGAGAAGAAGCGTGTTGCCAAGTAATTTCCAGATGTCTGAAACATGTGTTGGACACGTCTTGAACATGCGAAACAAACAGGCTCAAAACATGTTCAGAACACCTTTCCGGCACTGTAAGCACAGTCTGCATTCAATGATGATAGGACTGTTGGGGTGTCCATTGTCGTGGCGTCCGCAAGGCCAGGGGGGGGCGATCGGCTCGTGGGAGGGCGCACCGACCCCAGATCGCCCACGGTTCGCCGAGAGGGGCCGATGGCCCACCCCGCCCAGGGACGTCCGGGTTCGCCATCGGGGGCCTTTCGCCCCGCTCTGTTTTGCGGAAGTCGAGTAATGGATCGGAAGCATGCTGCCGAATAATCTCCAGATGTCTACTCTAGATTTCGTAATAAAAGGGAGGGGGTCTGGACCCTCCAAGACAAGCCATTTCAGACCTCCCCCGTGGGAGAACCCTCCAAAACATCGTCGCCAGACCCCCCAGGCCCTCCAAGATTAGCCTGGAAGAGACCCCCCCCCGAAATGAGACCCCCCCTCCCTTTGTTACGAAATCTGGAGTAAAAAACGTTTCAAACATGTTTTCAATATGTGGAAACATGTTGGAAGCACTTGTAGAACATGTTTTGCAGCTTTTAAGCACATTCTTAATTCAATGATAGGATTGTGAGAGTGTCCATTGCCATGGCATCCACAGCGCTCTGTCGTCGGTGTATCTCCCTCCCCCTGGGCCAGGCCCCCCTCTCGTTGGGGCCGCAGGCGGCGGCAGACGCCGCGGGCCTTCCACAGCTCCTGAGGGAGAAGGAGCTCCGCAGGGGGGGGCAGGAAGACCTACCCAGGGGGTCTGATGCCTTCAAAACAGAGGTCCGACCTCCATTCTGGTTGATGGTTTCCTCCCTTCTGGAGGCAGTTCGCGTCCAGAATAGAAGTCCGACTTCCAGATTGAAGATTTTGGATCCTCCGGGTGGGTAACCCCTAGGCCCTAGGGGCGCGAAGAAAATCGCGCTTCGCGAGTCGCGGTTTGTGCCCGATCGGCTGCCTTTTTCCAAAGGGGCGGCGAGGGTGCGCGAGGGCGCGAAGATAATCGCGCACCGCGGTGCGCCACGCGCGGAGTTACGCGACCTGGAAGACCTAACCCACCCACAGATCCGGGCGTCGCGAGCACATCACAATTCATGTTTCCGCCCTGGCCTTGGGTCCCTGACGTCGTCACGGATCGAGCCGGTTCGATAGATGTTGCAGGCAGGACGGAGGAGAACGTGTCCATAATAGTCGCAAGAACGCCTCCAGTTTGGTCAGGCTTTTATTCTCCTTGAACCGCCCCCCAGGCGCGCTCCGCGCGCCGGGGAAGGAGTGCGCGGAGGGGGGTCAACCACCAACCCAAGCACCTCTCTCTGAAACTTCATGCTTTGTGCCAGTTCTGTTTTGCCCCCTTGGAGGAGCGCTTCGCCCACGACTTCCCCGAGAAGAACCGCATGGTGCGTGCCGCGATCGCCGGCGTCCTCGTGGCGTGCAGCCTCCCGACTCTCCTGGCTTACAGGTAATGGGGCATGAGGCTTAGAAGAGGGAGCGGCGGACAGGAGGAGGAGGAGGAGGAGGAGGAGGACGAGGAATAAGAGGACGAGGGTGGTGGTAAAGAAAGAGGACGAGGCGAGAGGAGGGACGAGGGAGGAGGAAGAGGGAGTTGGGAGGGAGGAGGATGACGGCTGCCATAGGTCCGATTGGGTGGAGTTCTGCGAGGAAATCTCGCACAGCTTCGCTGGGCCTGGGCTGGTGTTCCAGGCCAGGGGAGGGACCCTCGTGACCGACAAGTACGTGGGATACGAGTGGCTCCTTCTCATTCCTCCTACTCCTCATCATCTTCACAATCGTCGTCGTCAGCAGCAGCAGCAGCATAATCATCATTATCATCATCAGAATCCTCCTCCTGCCCCTCCTCCTCCTCCTCATTATTGTTATGAGTAGTATTATTACTATCATTGTTATTCGTGTTATGTATGATTACTGCTATTGCTAGTATACGAGTAATGGTATTACCCTTGTTAGTAATATCAGATGTCGAATGTTCATAGTTTTCATGATTAACTGTATTATTCATACCAGTAGTGTTCTTATTACTCTCATTCGTATTATCACCCTCGTCAGCATCATCATCAGCAACATCATCAGTGTTCTTCTTCTCATTCTTAATAGTATGGCCAGTCTGATGTTTAGTATTCATGTCATATGTGTCTCTTAATTCCACGGGTATATACATATATTGTTTTATTAATATAGGTGTGAACAATGTTGCTCTTATTATTAGTATCACTACTGCTGCTACATACTTAGTCTGCTTCGTGTTACTACTACTAGTTGCGTCATCCTCATCATCATTATCAGCAGCATCATCAGCAGCATCAACATCAGCATCATTATCAGCAGCAGCAGCAACAGCAGTAGCATCATCATCATCATCAGCAGCAGCAGCACCACCATCATTAGCATCAGCATCAGCATCAGCATCCTCCTCCTCCTCGTCCTCCTACTTATCACGATCATCATCGTCATCCTTCCCCCCCCCTCGCTCCATCTCCCATTCTCTCGCCCTTCTCACCTGACCCCTCCCCCCTCTTCCCTCATCCTTATCCTGGGCAGGGTTTCAACTTTGCTTGGGGTGACGCCCGGTCGTTGGGTGTAGCTCGGCCCGTCTGGACCACCACAACATCTAAACCAAAGACAGCACTCGTCGGCCTCATTCTCGTCCCCCCTCCCTGCCCCCCCTCCCTCCACAATTACACATCATGAATACTACTCTCCTCTCTCCCCTGACTCTGTCCGGAAGATGTCCCACCCTCTCCAGCATGGTTTTTCCACACAGGACTGGACACATATGATTTTTCTTATGTTGTTTACCAGCCGATTGTTCATGGTTTTTCGCAATGGTGCTCCCGCTGCAGCGTGAGCCTCATTTTCAGATCGGCGCTCTGCCCCCGCTGTTCAGACCAGCGCTCTCGCCCCGGCGCTGGCCACACTTCTGCATCCGGGTCCTTCCTCCTCATTGTCGCCCCCCTCATTCCTCCTCCTCCTCCGACTCTCCCTGGTCATCTTGCTCCTCCGCTCCTTTCGCTTTAGTTCCTGCTGCTGCTATTTGTCCTCGTCCTCCTCCTTCCTCATCCTCCTCCACTTCCTCCTGCTCCTCCTCCTCCTCCTCCTCCTCCTCCTCCTCCTCCTCCCACGTACGCTGCTCATCCTCCCGCTCACCCGCCACCTCCTCACATGTACGCAGCTGCCTCTTTCCCGATTGCGCATGGCACGTGAGGGATACCTATGTTTTGGCGCTTCAGGTCGGCTATGACACGTGTCCGCGGACACAGAAAAAGCAGCGCAATGGGACGGTACAGTCGGGGCGCTGAATAAGGAACCCTTTACGTTGGGGAGGGGCTCGGTGTTCCTTGATTGTTTCGCAGCTTGCCTCAGGCTTTCCTTAGGTTTTCGATGGGACATCGCAGTTTAACTTATGGAACATAGGGGCCTCGGTCCTTATTTAGGGTTCCTGAGGTCAACGCCCCGACTTTATGACACGCGTCCGCGGACACAGAAACAGCAGCGCAGCGGGACGGTATGGGAGGGAAGGATGGGATGTCCGATGTGGCGCGAGCGCACCCGGCTTGCCCCTCCCCCCGGCCCCCCCCCCCCTTCTGAGTACCGTCGGGGCGTTGACCTAAGGAACGATAGAGAAAGCACGAGGCCCCCCTCTTTCCCATATAGTAAACTCCGATGTCCCATGGAAGACCTCCGGAAAACCCAAGGAGCACTGTAAAGCAACTAAGGAACACGCAGCCCTTCTGAGTACAGTCGGGGCGTTGACCTAAGGAACGATAAATAAGGAACGAGGCCCCCTTTTTTCCCATATGGTAAACTCCGATGTCCCATGGAAGACCTCCGGAAAACCCAAGGAGCACCGTAAAGCAATGAAGGAACACGGAGCCCCTCCCCAACAAGAAGGGTTCCTTCTTCAGCGCCCCGACTACTACTCTCTCCTCTCTCCCCGGACTCTCTCTGGAAAATGCCCCGCCATCTCCGCGTGCGCTCATACACAGGATCGGGCCAGGTAATTTTTCTGCTGTCGTCAGCAATATGATTTGAACCCGGTGTTTCAAAGTTGTGTTCCCGCTGGAACGTGGGCCTCATTTTCGGATCGGCACTCTGCTCCCGTCGTTCAGAATTGGCGCTGTCGCCCCAGCGCGGGCCGCATTTCTGCATCCGAGTCCTTCCTCATAAATGCCGCCTTCCTCCTTTCCCCTCCTCCGCCTTCCCCTGATCCTCCTGCGCCTCCCGCTCCGTCCACTCCAGTCCCCGCTGCTGCTCTTCGTCCTCGTGCTCCTCCTCCTTCCGCGGATCTAGAAATCATCAGCGCAATGAGAAGAGATGGGTGGGAGGGGAGGGATGTCAGACGTGGCGCGAGCGCACCTGGTTTCTGCCTCCTTCCCCTGCTCCTCCCCCCCTTCCTCCTCTTCCTCCTCCTCCTCCTCCTCCTCCTCCTCCTCCTCCTCCTCCTCTTCCTCCTCCCCCTCCCTCCTCCCCCTCCAGGTGGCTCGTGAACAACACGCCGGCCGACTCCCGAGTCCTCTCCTGGTGGGACTACGGGTACCAGATCACGGGCATCGGGAACCGCACGTCCGTGGCGGACGGGAACACGTGGCGGGGAGCGGGGGTGGCCCGAGGGCGGCAGATCTCCGACGACGTGTTGCCAATCCGGGCGCTTTTCGGTGCATATATATACATTGTGGTGGGCAATAGGGGTTGCTAATGCAAAGCCAGCCGATTAGACGATAAGACGATACAACGATACAAGACGATAAGACGATAAGACGGTGTAGGATCTCGCTGGGCGATAAGACGATGAGACGATGTAGGGCCTCGCCAGACGATAAGACGATAAGGCGGTTATAATTATCGCATCATCGTCTCATCGTCATATCGTCTTATCAATCAAAGCTATACTCATCACCCTATTTCTGGACAAGCGGGTCCGCAAGCACGCCAGGACGGCCCTCAGAAAGAATCAGGCTGGCATCATCTCGGCAAGAAAGACGCACAAGAACGCTCAGAAACACGAGGGGGGCCCGGCCGCAGTGATCGATGCGGTCTTGCGCGACGCGCCCTGATCGCTACCGGCGTCAGGGGTGATTTTTGTTCTGGCATTTTTCGCCATGAGGCCGTAGCCAGAAACTCTGCGACGACGTCGGCGATAGTCGGGATCGGCGTCGTCGTCGTCGCGGTCGTCGCTGTCGTTGCCGTCGATGCCGTTGCCGTCGTTGTCGTCGACGCCGTCGTCGCGGATTTTTTGGCGACGGCGCCGCGGCCGGGAGTGCCAGAAAATCGCCCCTTCGGATAGAGGAATCTTCGCGGGCAGTCCCGGCAACTTGAGCCACTCGTGGGCCGTTCGTGGCGCATGGCGCTTGCGCGATTGCCTGGCATTTCACTCGGTCGCGACACTTGTGCCCGCGTCATAACTAGCGACGCGCCCTGTCCGCTGCCGGCGCCAGGGGCGTTTTTTTCCGGCACCTCTTCGCCGCGTGGCCGTAGCCAGAAAAATCTGCGACGATGTCGGCGACAGTCGGGGTTGGCGTCGTCGTCGTCGTCGTCGTCGTCGTCGTTGCCGTCGTCGTCGTCGGCGTCGTCGCGGTCGTCGTTGCCGTCGCGGTCGTTGCCGTCGCTGTCGTTGCTGGCGCCGTCGTCGTCGACGCTGTCGTCGCGGATTTTCCGGCGACGGCGCCGCGGCCAGGGATGCCGGAAATCTGTCTCTGCTTGTCGCGCCCCTTTGCAGCTGGAGCCCGCGGGCAACAAAAACCTTCCCCCCCTCGCCTCTCTCCGAGTCCGGGCCCAGCCGCCGACAGAGACCTGACGAAGTCCCGCATCGTTCCCTCGGGGCGACGACCACGACGACGAGGACGACGAGGACGACGAAGGCGACGGCGCTGGCGACGACGACGACGCCTGCGACGACGACGACGACGACGACGTTAGCGACGATTGCGACGACGTGGACAACGACGACGGCCGCGGCGGCGGCGGCTGCGGGGGCGACGAAGACGACGACGAAACCGCCCGCAGACGGATTGCGCTTGGCTTTGCCTCCGTTCTGGCCGGGGCTATCCCGGACGTTGTCGTCGTCGTCGTCGCCGTTGTCATCGTCGGATCGGAGGTTGTCCGTCGTTGTCGTCGAAGCCGCCGCCGCCCCCGTCGCCGCCGCCGCCTTCGCTTCGAGGTGCGTGGATCGGGGTTCGAGGATCGAGGATTTGGAAAGTTCCGGCCCCTGTGCAGGCCGCCAGGGTCTTCTGGCGGCCCCCAGCAGACACTTCGAGCGTGAGCGGTGAGTGTGCGCGGGTAAAGGTTTGGAGGAGGAAGTCGTCGTCCTCATCGTCCCCGGCTTGGCCGGCCCGCCCGCCGCCTCGGCTCGGCCGTTGGAGGAGGCGGAGGGGGAGGAGGAAGAGGGGGGCAAGGGGGAGGAGGAGGAGGAGGAGGAGGAGGAGGAGGAGGAGGAGGAGGAGGAGGAGGAGGAGGAGGAGGAGGAGGAGGAGGAGGAGGAGGAGGAGGAGGAGGAGGAGGAGAAAGAGGAGGACCAGGAGGAGGAGGAGGAGGGGAAAGAGGGCGAGGAGGCAGGGGGGACGAATCAGGCGCCAGGGGGGGGCGGAGGAGACGGGGGGAAGATGAGGATGCGGAGGAATAGGGGGGAGAGGAAGGAGGAGGAGGAGGAGGAAAAGGAGGCCCGTCTCGCGTGAGGCACCCTCGATGTCTGGGCTCCCATATGCCACGACTTGCGATGATCTGGGCAGTCTCGCCTGGGACATCCTCACCACTTTGGGTTCCAATATGCATTTCTCAAAGAGTTTTCGCCAGTTTCGCGTGAGACACCTTCGGCATTTTGGGGCCCGATATGTCTTGACTTGAGGTGATCTGGCCGCCTTCGCCTGAAACGCCCTCGCAACTCTGGATTCGGAGATGCCCTCCCCCGTGGTGGCCCGGCCGCATTCACCTGTGACATCCTCGCAAATCTGGGCCCCGACGCGCTCTGAGCTGAGACGGTCAGGCCACTCGCCTGAGACATCCTCGCTACCGTCACCATCGTCACCGTCCTCGCGCTCGTCATTGTTATCGTCATCAGACGATAATGCGATAAGGCGATAATGTGACCTTACCGTCGTATCGTCTTGTCGTCTGATGTGGCCATAGATCGTCTTATCGTATTATCGTTTGGTGAGTCCCTATGTCGTCTTATCGTCCTATCGCCTTATCGTACGTTGCCTTTTTTATTTATCATCGTCTTATCGTCTTATGTCGTCTTACCGTACTATCGTTCGCATGAGGCTTAAACGGCTGATCACCACCACATTGTATACAGACACACACATATATATGTACAAAACTGCAGTGGCGCTTCGCGCCATGCACTTTGGTCCTTGAAGTTTGGTATGCAGGCGGAATGGCAGGAAGGCCGAGCCGACAATTTAGCGATAACTCCTTGTTGCCTTTTTCCAGCATCGTCGTTATAATAATGTTATGCATTATCTCTCCTCCATGTCTCTTTTTCTTCGTTCTCGCCAAACCCTGCGCATTCTGGCTTTCTTAAGGCCTTCTGGAGGCCTCCTGGGCGTGTTCTGGGGGCCTCTGGGGGCTTCCTCGGACCACCCTGCCTCCAACCGCGGTCTCCCTCAACGACCGGGTCACGATTTGGAATGATTCGGAGGGTGTCTTAGGGCCATCTTGGGCCGCCATAGGGCTCTATTGGACCATCTTGGACCCTTGTTATGCCGTTTTGAGGCTCTCTTGGACTGCCTGGAAGCCTTTTCGGATGGTTGTGAGGCGATTTGGGAGCTTCCTAGGCGGCTTCGGACGCCCCGCCGTCTTGGAGCGCCGGGAAGCCGAAAAGAGGAAAACCCCAACATTCACCAAAAAACCACAGAAAATCACATATGTTTGCCTCTTGGGGCCTTCTTGGGAGTGCTCTTGGAGGCCTCTGGAGTTTCTGGAGCGATCTTCGGGGGTATGACGGCTTCTTGGGGGTCGTCGTGGACCGTATTGGGGCTCTCTGGGGTCGTTTCAGGAGCGCGCCAGAATGCCTGGAACCCGTATGTGGCCGTCTTCGGGCTTTCGTGAGGCTCTCCCAGGTCGTCTGAAGGGTTGGGAGGGCCAAATTCGTTAGGGGGGGAAGGTTTTTTTTTTCCGGCGTCCCTGGCTTTATAAAAACAGATGAATAAAGATATATCGGCCTCTCGGGCCCGTTGCCAGGTGCCGAGATCATCAGAAATGGGCCGGGACGAAGTAAAATCCCCTGAGAATTTCTTGGGCCGCGGCTGGGAAGAGCACTCGGAGCAACAGATCGGCGGACGTCACGGGGGGGGGGAGAGGGGAGGCGAAGGGACAAGAAAGACAAGGGGGGCGGGGGGGGGGGGAGGAAGGGACGGAGAGGGGAGGAGAAGGGAGGAGGGACCAGGGAGTAGGGGGGGGGGAGGGAAGCGGGAGGGAGGGAGGGGCAGGGGGAAAGGGAGGAGGGGAGAACAGTGGAGGAAGGACAGGATGGGAGGATTGGAGGGCAGGGGGAACGGGAGGAGGAGGAGGAGGAGGAGGAGGAGGAGGAGGAGGAGGAGGGAGGTGGGAGGAACCACGAACACATCGCGACAATCGGGCGCATCCTCTCGGCCCCCGAGAAGAAGTCCTACAACACTATGCGGCACCTTGCCGACTACGTGCTCGTCCATGCTGGCCATCAGGAGACCGACCTTCGAATCTCCACCCACTTTGCTCGCATTGGCAACTCGATCTTCCCAGACATCTGCGGCGACGCAGATCCCACGTGCACGAAGTACGGCTTCCTCGCCGGAGGGCAGCCGTCCAGGATGATGGCCAAGTCTTTCGTCTACAAAGCGGTCAAGCATGGGCAGGATGGGGTGCAGCTCAACCCGAACCTCTTCAAGGAGGTGCACGAAACTAAGTATGGCATGATCCGGATCTTCCAGGTACTTAACGTGTCGCAGGATTTGCTCGCCCTTCTACCTCACACGCACCAATTCCACATCCTCCTCTCCACTCGCTGGCAGTTCCCTTCAACCCCTTCCTCCTCCTTCGTCCTTCCTCCTCCCATGGTAAACTAGTCATTCTCAGCTATATAACTTTCACGGTGCACCAGGGGTTTTCAGCTTGCGTTGACATATTTGTTCTTGTCTCCCTCTCTCTCTCTTTCTTTGTTTTTTTTCTCGCTGTCTATCTCTCATCTCTCTCTCTCTCTCTTCTTCTCTCTCTCTCTCTCTCTCTCTCCAGTGTAATCGATATTTGCATGCCACTGGAGCCTCGTGCTTTGACTTGGCATGCATCCCGCCCCCTCTCGTTCCTTCCTGCTTTCACCATCCTGCCGTCGTTTTCACCGTGGGTGCGCCAGGGATTGCGCGATATGTTCTACCGATGCGCACGCCCAGAACAATTTCAGTGCTTATGGATTTTCTTTTCGTGCCTCTCGCTCTCTTCTTTGTATCTTTCTCTCTCTCTCTCTACCTACCTACCTTTATGTGTGGTTTCTCTCTATCCATCTGTCTCTCTCTCTCTCTCGCCCTCTCTCTCTCTCTCCGTTTACAAACCTATCGCTCTCTCGCCTCCCCCCCTGTCGCTCTCGGTGTCTCTCTCTCTCTCTCTCTCTCTCTTTCTATATATATATATATATATGGATTCCCCTCCCTCTCTCTCTCATTTGTTCTTTCTCTCCCTCTCTCTCTCTCTCCCTCTTTCCTCTCTCTCTCTCTCTATATCTCTCTCTCTCTCTCTCTTTCGCTCTCCGTCAGCAAACTCTTTCTCTCTCTCTCTCTCTTGCCCTGCGGCCGCCTACCTCGAGTGTTACGCGTGCCCGACGTTAGCTCCTGGCTGAGTTTTTGCTCGTGGAACTCCGATCCGATCTAGCTCCCCAGTTCCACCTCCTCCTCGTCCTTCTCCTTTTCCTCGTTCTCCTCCTCCTCCTTCTCCCCCTCCTTCTCCTCTTCCTTCTCCTCCTCCTCCTTCTCCTCCTCCTCCACTTCGTGGCGGGAGATGCTGCCGATGGCTCGCAGGGCACTCCTGGAGCACGGCATGCCGGGCTGGCGTACGCGCCAGCGCGGCTGCCACTTCCGCACTGGTTGGCCCCAGCGTCAGCACGGACTCCCGCAGCACCCGCGCCTGCAGGCAGCGGGCCGTGAACGCCGTGGCCTCCTCCTCCCTCCTCCCTCCTCCTCCTCCTCCTCCTCCTCCTCCTCCTCCTCCTCCTCCTCCTCCTCCTCCTCCTCCTCCTCCTCCTCCTCCCTCCTCCCTCCTCCTCCTCCTCCTCCTCCTCCCTCCTCCTCCCTCCTCCTTCTCCTGCCTCTCCTCCTCCTCCTCCTCCTCCTCCTCCTCCTCCTCCTCCTCCTCCTCCTTCCTCCTCCTCCTCCTCCTCCTCCTCCTCCCTCCTCTCTCCTGCAGGGCGCTTTGGAGCACCGTCACGCGCGAGGCATCCCATGCAGCGCCGCCTCGTGCGCATTTTGGCGCAGGTGCTCCGCCCCCCCCTCTCCTGGCCCCCGGGGCTCGAGGCGCGGGTCCGCAAGCGGTCCTTGCCCGGCCGAGGCTCGGCCATCGCGTGGGCACGGGGGTTCGTCGAGGGGTGGGCCCGCGCGCGGTGCTCCGCTGCTCGGCCTGGCTGCGGGGCTTAAAACGACGCGAAGATCGGGACAAAATCGGATCGGGATAACTCGAAATCTCTGAGAATCGGCGGGTTTGGAGGATGTATTGGGCGCCGCGGCCGCTCCAGAGCGTTCCGGAACGCTCTGAGAGCGCTTCGGAACGCTCTGGAGCGATTTATCCCGATCCTAGCCTTGTTTTATGGGCCCGCGCGCGGTGCTCCGCTGCTCGGCCTGGCTGCGGGGTTGGACGACGGCATGCAGGGCGCGAGGACCCCCAGGGAGGGTGCGTCCTGGGGTGTCCCAGGGGCTCCGGGGCACCTGCACACACACCGCGAGCGAGTGTCGACGCGCGGAGCGCACCGTGGCCGAGGCTTTGGGCCGTGCAGACACCCTGCGCAGCCCTATCTTCCCCCACCCCTCTTTCACTCATAGCCGCCCGCACATCAACAACATCGTTATCATCAACATCATCATCAGCATCAACATCGTCATCATCAACAACATCATCATCATCATCATCATCATCATCATCATCATCGTCAGCGGCATCATCGTCCTCCTCATCATCACCATCACCATCATCATCATCATCATCATCATCATCATCATCATCATCATCATCATCATCATCATCATCATCATCATCATAATCATGCTCCTCCTCATCATCATCAGCATCAGCATCATCACCCTCATCATCAGCATTAGCATGAGTACCTGCATCATGAGCAGCAGCATCATCAACACCATCGTCTCACACACTCACCGACACACCACCACCATCATCACCATCATCAGCGTCATCAGCATCATCACCATCATCATCCTCAACATCATAATCATTGCCTCGTACGTACTTACCCATCCAGTAACACTCCAATTCACACCCACACACTCACACGTTTATCTTAAGAAAGTCTCGAGCGGGCGCCTCGCCTGTGAGTTAAGTTTGAGGAAGTCTCAGGCGGGAGCCTCCTCCCTACGGGGCCGGCAGATCATGTTAGCAATCCAAGCGGTTCATCCAAAATTGAGAACTGTCGTCACTTTCGGGATCCTGAGGTCTGAATCTGGAGGACGTCTCGAGCGGGGGCCTCGTCTCATCCGAAATTTGTCGTTATTTTGGGGGTCCTGAGGCGTGAATCTGGGGGACGTCTCGAGGGGGAGCCTCGTCCCTGAATGGATGGTGAGGATGTCTCGAGCGGGAGGTCCCTCCCAATGGGGACGCCAGACCATTTTAGCAATGCGAGCGGATCATCCAAAACTTGTAGTTGTCGCCGCTCTTGTGCAGCGGAAGCTCGAATATGGAAGAAGTGTCGAACGCAGCCTCGTCTGTAAGGAATTAAGAGGAAGTCTCAAGTGGGAGCCTCCTCCCTATGGGGCCGCCGGATCATGTTAGCAATCCGAGCGGATCAATCAAAACTTGAATCGTTGTTTCTTGGGGTCCTGAGGCACGAGTCTGGAGGAAGTCTCGAGCGGGAGCATCGCCCCTGAATGAATAGTGAGGACCTCTCGAGCGGGAGCCCCCTCCCCATGAGGCCGCGAAATCACGTCAGCAATCCATCCAACATTTGTAAATATCGCTCTTCTCTTGGGGGGTGTGGAAGCTCGAATATGGAGGAAGTCTCGAGTGGGAGCCTCCTCCCTACTACCCTCGTCAAAATTAACCTCAACAGTTGCTGGCACGTCATCTCGATTTCGGCGCGCCCCTCAATGTCGACACGCCGCCCCTTCAATGTCGGGGCGAGGGCAAAGATAGTCTGACCGAAGTTGACTCGAAAGTTTGACGTCGATCGACATTGGAGGGGCGGCGCATGCAAGTACCCCGCACTCATCGATACTCGGCCCCAGATCTTCCGACAAGCAGTTTAACCACGCCAGACATGTTTGAGGTTAATTTTGACGAGGGTTGTATGAGGCCGCCGCATCATTTTAGTAATCCGAGCGGTTCGTCCAAAACTTGTGGTTGTCGTTACCCTTGGGGCCTCGAGGCGTGAGCCTGGAGGAAGTCTCGAGCGCGGGCCACGTCTCTGAGTGAATTATCATATGTATCCTCGAGCGGGAGATCCCTCCCAATGGGGACGCCATATTATGCTCGCAATGCGAACGGGTAAACTTGTAATTATCGCCACTCTTGTGCTCTGGAGGTTTGGACTTGGAGGAAGTCTCGAGCGGGAACCTCGTCCTTGAATGAATGGTGAGGACGTCTCGAGTGAGAGCCTCTTCCCTACGGGTCCGCCACATCATGTTAGCAATCCCAGCAGGCTGTCCAAAATCTGTAATTGTCGTCACTTTGGGGGTCCTGGGACATGAGCTTGGAGGTCGTCTCGAGCGGGGTCTTCGTTTGTGAGTGGATTATGAGGAAGTCTCGAGCGGGGGGACCCTCCCTATGGGACCCCTCCCTATGAGCTTATTCGGTTGGGCTGCGGCATGGCCACTTATTGGGAGCTGTTGGCGAGTTGGATTAGCACTCGCTCGTCGCGACGCGAGGCGTCTGGGCGTGCCCTCCGTTTTCCTGCAGGCCGTGGACGAGTGTAATGCGAACCGCGGCGATCCCGACGCGGGCCGGCGCTTCCTGAGCGTCCCGCACGTGCACAGGACGCGGGACATCCACGGCTTCTTGCCGGCACCGCGCGTCGGCATGGAAGTTCGGCTCACGGCTGTGAAGGAGGAGCTGAATCATACGAATGATAAAAGCAACAAGAAGAACAACAAGTTGGGCTCGCGCAGGAGCAGCGGGCACCCCTCGTGTCCTTCGAATTTCATTCCGAGGACGAGCAGCGGCGCGAGGAGCGCGGGTCAGGGCAGCTCTTCCGCCCCCGCTTCTTATCACAGGGAGTCTGGCTGCAGGTGCGCGGATTCAAAGAATCACCGATCGACCATGAGGTCCCCGAGCTGCTGCTACAGTCTGCAACAGGGCACGAATGGCGCTGACGACGACGGCCATGCGCAAAACTTGCTAATGTTCAGACCCAGCGAGCAGGAGCTCAAGTGGCAGAGCTAGAGACCGCATGCCCTACGCTGCTCGGGGCTCACCTTGACGCACGCGTCCTAGCTCACCTCCGCGCTGTCGCTGGGTCAGACGCTGCGCAAGGGCGCCACCATCGATTGTGCCAGGGACGAGAGCGCTGGCCGCGCCGGCATGTCGGAGGAGCAGCACTGCGCCTCCGCGTCATGTTCTCCCGCGCCGCGCGCGCGGCGGAACATGCTGATCTTGCGGCCGCCCTCACGCGAGTTTCTGGAGCGCGGGCCGCCGGCTTCCTGGCGGGAGGTGCTCGGAGAGTTCGACAAGAGAACGGCGAGCTACACGGCTGAGGCAGCTCGCCGCAGAGCTTGGCGCGCTGCCTCCCGCCCGAGCGCGGCCGCGCCCCGCTCGAAGCTAGCGGGGGTGTCCCAGCGGCTTGGTCTCGCGCGCCAGCGGCCCGCGGATTTGCCCCAACAGCGTGGTTCGCGAGGTTGCCCCGACGGCTATGCGTTCTATGCGCGCGCCCTTACAATAGGAATGGGGGAGGCGGCGGGGGGGGAAGAATGGCAGGAGGGCGAGGAGGAGGAGGAGGAGGAGGAGGAGGAGGAGGAGAAGGAGGAGGAGGAGGAGGAGGCACATCAGGGTGCGGGAGGAGGACCTCCGCCAGAGGGGGAAAAGAGAGTTGCGCGGAGGAGACAGGAAGAGGGCTTCCGCAGTCGCAGGAACGACGATGCGGATAATTTCCAGACTAACTGAGCATATTAGTACGCGGGCTCCTACAATCTGAGTGTTTCTCTCCCACGCCGTGGCCGGATTTCGGATGATCATCATGGGAACTTTGCTTTCATAGTGTCGTATTTCCAGTGATTGATGCCCACAGAAGTCGCCTAGGTAGGGAACTGCGTTCATCCGAGATTCCCGCCTTCGCCGAAGGCGTGATAATTGCGATGAAATTGCCCCTGCGGGGACCAAACGAGTTTTTGTAGACTCAGCGAAGAGGGTGTGGTGCTGATCTGGGACGAGCCCCGTCGGGGCACGCTCGACCTCCTCCTTTTCCCCCCCGCCCTCCTCCTCCCCCTCCCCTTTTGTTCCTCCTGCTCCCCCTCTTGTTCCTCCTCATTTTCCTCCTCCTCGCCCATTTCTCTGTGTTCGCTTGGTTGGGCCCGTTCGTGCAGTAACATGGCAACGGTTATGTTGGTTCAGGCTTGCATATAACACACATTCGCTCCTTAGCTGGGCAGCGGAGCGCATTGCGTCCCATGTACGGGGTGTTCAGTTCGAAACCGCTTGTATTGTTAAGCTGGCCTTACAGTGCGATTGATGCATGTCGTGCGTGCGCCCAGCTTTCGGACAACGGCTAAGGCCTGTAGTCGGTTTCAAAAGACGTTGGGAGAGCACCGCGTTAGTAGAGCAATTGGTTCACTGATACCTGATGGAGGCGCTTCTCTTGCACTTCAGGTTTCGTCATTCGACCATTTTCCTAAGAGTGGTCAATGGATTGGCGTCCCTCTGTTCCTTTCCTTTGTACGGATCTTCATTTCAGCAGCAAGCGTTGCCCCCCCCCTCTCCTCCCGATACCCTCCTCCCCTCTCTCCCCCCTCATCCTCCGCCCTGCGCCCCCCCCGTCCCAATCCTCCCCCCCCTGCTCCCCTCCTCATCGGGCGGCCCAGGAGTCCAAGGACTGGGTGGCGGACCCCGCGAACAGGAAGTGCGACGCGCCCGGGAGCTGGTACTGCGTGGGGCAATACCCTCCGGCGCTGGCACCGCTGATCGCGATGCGCAAGGACCCGCGCATCCCCTTCCCTTCCATGCCGACTCTTTGAAGTTACTTGTTCCTGGCGAGCCACCGCGGCTCGACAAGTTCCACCTCCGCGAGGGGTTCAATTCTGATCTGCGGCCCCCTCCGCTCGAACCATCAGGCCCGAGGTTCCAATCTGGTCTGCGGCTTGGTCTGCTCAAAGCTAGCAGGTCCGAAATTCAAACTGCACCTGCGGTCCTGTTGGCTCAAAGCTAGCAGGTCCGTGGCGTCGAGGAGGAGCAGCTGGGCAAAGGAGAAGGAGCCAGAGGGATCGAGGAGAGGCTCGGTGCTGCGCTTCGCTTGGGGCCTTGGGTGCCTGGAGGGCCGGAGGCTCAGCGGTCGGCTTGGCGCCCTGCGGCTTGAACTTTCACAAGGTTCGATGGTTGCTTTCCGACTTGCGCGGTGGACTTCTCCAGCGCTCGGCGCAAGATTCAAGGAAGACGACCAGGACATCTCTCGGACACTGGTACCGCGATCGTTCCGTCAGCCGCAGCGTGGCGTGGTCCTTCTGGGTCCTGGTCCACCCCGGCACGAACCTGCCGTTCTTCTCGATGGCCGGTGGCCGCCGGCCCCTCCTCTGCCCCAGCTGCAGCCTCACCTGCCCGCGCCAGCACGGACGGCGCGGCGGAGGTGGCGGAGCGAGGGTGGCAGGCGGCGGGGGGGCGCCCTGTGTCCGCAGGCACGCGTACCGCGATGTGGGTGTAGCGGCGATGCGGGGTTCGGGTCTGTTTGCGGGTGGGGCTGGCTCGTGGCCAGCCCATCTTTCATGGAAGGCTCGTTCGCGTCGTCCCACAGTTTGTTCTGCTCGAGTTCGGCGTCACAAGCATCGGATTCCCAACGTCGCCGGTAACCAACATCGCCGTCAGCGTGCCCTTGGTGTGTCTAGAGCAGCCCAGTTCGCGGCCTCCGCCAGAAGGGTCGCGTCGGCCGCCGCGTTCGCCCATTTGGACCGCGCCACCGCAGGGAGGCGCGGCCATGCGAAAGCATGGACGCCCGAGCCGAATGGTTTCGGAGGAGACGGAAGAGGAAGAGGAATGACGATGAGGGGAAGTGACCAGATTGTGGTGGAGGAGGAGAAGGACGACGATGATGATGGTGATGATGATGATGATGCTGATGATGATGATGATGATGATGATGATGATGAGGAGGAGGAGGAGGAGGAGGAGGAGGAGGAAGGCAGAGGAGGAGGAGGAGGAGGCAGAAGCGGAGGCGGAGGCGGAGGCGGAGGCGGGTCACATATGTTCTGAGTTGCTCTAGGACTTTGCCCAGCTCGAGGACTTCAACAAGAAGGGGGAGAAGAGCGCTTACACAAAGATGATAGAGGCTCACCTTCCCTCGAGGTTGACGTGTAGGAGGAGGAGGAGGAGGAGGAGGAGGAGGACGACGAGGAGGACGAGGATGAGGAGGAAGAATCCATCCCATCTGCCAACTCCGCTTCTTCATGTCACTTCCCCCTTCCAACCCAGGCTGTCCCTTCTCCCTCCTGTATATACGACTCTTTCCCCAATCTTCCCTTTCTCCTTTCCACCTCATCTCTCCCCCCTATCTTCCGCTTGCTCCTCCTCTGCCACGTCGTCCCCCTGCTTGTCCCCCTCGTTATCCTCCTCGGTATCCACTTCGATATCGTGTTCGTTATCCTCCACCTGCTCCTCCTCCGCCTCCGCCTCCGCGTTCTCCTTCTTCTCCTCCTCCTCCTCCTCCTCCTCCTCCTCCTCCTCCTCCTCCTCCTCCTGCTCCTCCTCCCCCCCCTCCTCCTCCTGATCCTCGCCCCCCAATCGCGATCCCCTCCCGCCCCCCCTGCAGATTCTCCTCCGCCCCCCTCTGTAGCTTCATCCTCTCCCCATGTCGCCAGCCCCCTCGTGCTACACCTCAGTCCTTCTCCGCTTCCGCTTTCTCCTCCTCCTCCTCCTCCTCTTCGCCCTGTGTCCTCCTCTCTGGACGTTTTCCCTCCTCGCCGTCCTCCTCCCGAGTTCCCGTCTGCTCCTATTCCCTTATGTTCTATGTATTCCCCTCCCCCCCCCTCCGCCTTCATCGTCCTTCTCCTCTTCCTCCCCCTCATCCTCCTCGGCTCGGCTCGGCGATCTAAAGGCCTGTCCATGAGTGGCGTATCCTGATAGTGGGTTTTGGAAAGGCAAGGAATTTGGGGGACAAAAAGAGAGGCCCTGACAAGGGCAACGTCCATTCATACAGAGGCAGTCGTGACACCAGGGGCTACATCCAACAGCCGCACAATGGACCAGCAGCGAAGGGCAATCATTCACAGGACATGTAAGGGTCGAGGGGCCGCCAGAAGTTGCCCCAAGACGCGTTCCCACCACTCGCACCCCCGCAAATCTCATGATTGTGCGCAGGGATTGGCCCCCGACCGCGGTCTCTGTACGCCGCAGTGTCGCGGGGCCCAGCAGGCGTAGCACTTTCTCGACACCATAGAGGGCGCGCAGGGGGTGGTTTTCCACCGCGGTCACTATACACGCCAATGTCGCACGCAGGGCCCAGCAGGCGTGCGCTTTCTCTGCATCAGCGGGGTGCGCAGGGGGTGGTCCCTCACCGCGGTCTCTGTACGCGCCACTGTCGCACGCAGGGCCTAGCAGGCGTGGCATTTTCTTGGCACCAGAGGGGGTGTGCAGGTTTTCCCTCACCGCGGACCCTACACAGGCCAATGTGGCAGAGCCTAGCAGGCGTGGCATTTTCTCGACATCAGAGGTGGTGCGCAGGGCGTGGGCCCTCACCGCGGCCCCTATACGGGCCAATGTGGCAGGGCCTCGCAGGCGTGGCACTTTCTCGACACCAGAGGGGGTGCGCAGGGTGTGGTCCCTGAACGCGGTCTCTATGCGCGCCAATGTGGCAGGGCCTAGCAGGCGTTGCATTGTCTCGACACCAGAGGGGGTGCGCAGGGCGTGGCCACTGAACGCAAGGCGTGGCAGCCTGGCATGTCGCCGGCACCACAAGAGGTATGCACAAGGGGGTGGGCGCCGTATCCGTCGCAGGATCGCAAAGCGTTGCAGGCGTGGCACTTTCTCGGCACCGCAGATGGTTCGCTGGGCGTGGTTGCCGTGGCCGTCGCGCGCTCGCAAACAGTGGACTTCATGTCGGGGAGTTCCGCATCGCCGTGCCATCGACAGAAAAGCGCAGTGCAGGAATGAATATGGCCAGGGCGGAACGGGAGTGAGAAAAGACGGAAACAGGAGGACGGGGAGGATGTTGGAGGTTCACGCAATGCTGCGCTGCAAACGTTGAGATCTCGTGTAGAGGATGCCAAGATGAATGCCACTGTGTTAGAACGTTCGGGGAAGCAGGATGTGACACAGGTCATGAACACACGACATGCATTGAGTATGTGGGGTTCCTCGGTAGCGTAATTTTTGGCAGGGATGGTGGCCCTGCGCGCAGCAGGCAACATGTAGGCATCCTGCCGCCCCTGTCAATCAACCTGGCGAAGGACCCAATTATGTGCAGTTGTGAGTGACGCAGTTGTGGGCATCGTCTTCGATGGGGCTCCCTATAGGGCCACGAACCGTGCGATGGGTGTGCCGAAATTGGAGCGGTGGACGCCTGCGAGAACCACCGCTACGGCCTTCGGTGGAGCTTCCTATGGGGCCGCGAAGCGTGCGAGGGGTGTGCCAACATGGGTGCGGGGGACGCATGTGAACACGGCCAAAGAGGTCTGCAGTGGAGCCCCCTATGGGGCCACGAAGCGTGCGACTGTGTGCTGAAATGGGCGGGCGAACACCGCCACTGGGGCCTTCGGTGGAGGTCCCCATGTGACCACGAAACGTGCGAGGGGTGTGTCGAAAAGTGCACGGGGGACGCATGCGAACACAGCCACTGGGGCCTTCCACAACGAAGCGTGTGAGGGGTGTGCCGAAATCAGTGTGGCGGGGTGGACGCATGCGCGCGCTTCTACTGGTGCCTTCGGTGGAGCTTCCCATGGGGCCACGAAGCGTGCGAGGGGTGTGCCGAAATGGGTGGGGTGGAGGGGGGCGCGTGCGCGCGCTGCAACTGGGGCTTTCGGTTGAGCTCCCTATGGGGCCACGAAGCACGTGAGGGGTGTGCCGGGATGGGCGCGGTGGACGCATGCAAGATGGGCCACTGCGGCCTTCGGTGGAGCTCCCTGTGGGGCCGCGAAGCGCGCGAGGGGTGTGCCGACATGGGTGCTGGGAACGCATGTGAACGCAGCCACTGGGGTCTTCGGTGGAAGCAACGGAGCGTATAAGGGGTATGCCGAAATTCATGCGGGGGCCGCATTCGAGCACTGCCACAGGGGCCTTCGGAGGAGTTCCCTATGGGATAACGAAGCGTGCGAGGGTGTGCCCAAATGGGCAGGGGGGCGCGTGCGGACACCGCCACTGGGGCCTTCGGTGGAGTTCCCCACGTGACCACGAAACGTGTGAGGGGTGTGCCGAGATGGGTGCGGTGGACGCATGCGAGAAGCGCAACTACGGCCACGAGACGTGTGACGTGTGAGGGGTGTGCCAGCATGGGTGCAAGGGACGCATGCGGGAACCGCCACTGGGGCCTTCGGTGGAACTCCCTATGGCGCCACGGAGCGTCTGAGGGGTGTGCCGAAATTCTTGCGGGGGCCGCACTCTAGCACTGCCACAGGGGCCTTCGGTGAAGTTCCGTATGGGACAACGAAGCGTGCGAGGGATGTACCGACATGGGTGGGGCGGTGGACGCGTGCGCAAACTGCCGCTGGGGCATTCGGTGGAGCTCCCTATGGGGCCACGAAGCGTTCGAGGAGTTTGCCGAAATGGGTGCGGGGGGCGCAGGCGGGAACTGCAACCGCGGGCTTCGGTGGAGCTCCCAATGGGGTCACGAGACGTGTATGGGGTATGCCGAGGCGCGAGGGACGCATGCGAACACTGCCACTGGCGCCTTCGGTGGAGCGCCCTCTGGGGCCACGAAGCGTGTGAGGGTGTGCCGAAATGTACGCAAGGGACGTACGCGAGAAACGCCACTGGCGATTTCGGTGGAGCTCCTTATGGGACCACGAAACGTGTGAGGAGTATGCCGACATGGGCGTGGGGGGCGCACGCGAGAACCGCCACCGGGACCTTCGGCGGAGCTCCTTATGGGGCCACGGCGCGTGTGAGGGGTGTGCCGACATTGGTGCTGGGGACGCATGCGAAAGCCGCCATTGGGGCCGTCGGTGGAGCTCCCTATGGGGCCACGAAGCGTGTGGTGTGTGTGTGTGCTGAAATGGGTGCGGGGGACGCATACGAGAACTGCAGCTAGGGGCTTCGGTGGAGCTCCCCATCGGGCCACGAATCGTATGATGGGTGTGCCGCGATGGACATGCGGAGGGCGGAGGCAGGGACGGGAGGAGGAAGGAGGAGGGGGAGGAGGAGAGCAGGGAGAGGAGGAGAGGAGGAGAGGAGGACGTAGAGCACTGCCATTTCAAAACGAGGACACCACAGGATGGTTGGGAACAGTGCCACATGCTCGCGCAACCTTTTCCCCAAACATGTTTTGCGCATGGTTTTTCTGAAAGGGATGGTGGGGAGGGGGCCCCCGTGGGGACGGGTTGGCTGCTGGTCGCCTGGGGGAGAGGGTGTTTATTAATAGGGAACACTGATCCCCCCGAAGGGGAACTAGAGGGGTTGGAAGAGGAAGCGCTCTAAACCACTCACGCCCAGAGCGCTGGTGGGATTTGCTTCTTTCTTACAGGGGCCAGCCACCCTTGAGGCTTTGCAGTCTACCAGTATCCTCTTCTTCCTCCTCCTTCTTCTCCTCCTCCTCCTCCTCCTCCTCCTCCTCCTCCTCCTCCTCCTCCTCCTCCTCCCCCTCCTCCCACATCCCTCCCCTCCTCCCATTTTTACCCCTCCTTCTACAACCGCCCCCTCCTCCCTTCTCCCTCCCTCTGAGGCTCGCGCGCGGAAGGGCTTGGCGGAGGAGTGAGCCCGCCAGGCCGCGGGCGCCGCGGGCGTCCCCGGTCGGCCGGCTCCGCGGTGGCAGGCCGAGGAAAAGTCCGCGCGCTCGCCCGTCTGCTGCTTTCTGTTGCCGCTCCTCCTCCTCCTCCTCCTCCTCCTCCTCCTCCTCCTCTCCTGCTCCACCTCCTCCTCCTCCTCCTCCTCCTCCTCCTCCTCCTCCTCCTCCTCCTCCTCTGCATCATCATCATCACCATCATCATCATCATCATCATCATCATCATCATCATCACCATCATTATCATCATCATCATCATCAGCATCAGCATCAGCATCAGCATCAGCATCAGCATCATCATCATCATCATCATCATCATCAGCAGCAGCAGCATCATCCTCATCATCAGCATCATCATCACCATAATAAGCATCATCATCATCGTCGTCATCATCACCGTCATCATCATCATCATCATCATCATCATCATCGTCGTCGTCGTCGTATCATCATCATCATCATCAGCATCAGCATCATCATAAGCATCATCATAAACATCATCATCAACATCATCATCGTCGGCATCATCATCAGCATCAGCATCATCAGCATCATCATCATCAGCATAAGCATCATCATCATCAGCAGCATCAGCATCAGCATCAGCATCATCATCACCATCAGCATCATCATCATCAGCAGCATCATCAGCATCATCACCATAAGCATCATACGCATCATCATCGTCATCGTCATCGTCATCATCAGCATCAGCATCAGCGTCAGCATCAGCATCATCGTCATCATCATCATCACCATCATCCTCATCCTCATCCTCATCGTCATCGCTCCTCGTCCTCCTCCTCTTCCTCCTCCTCCCTCCTAGCTTCCTCCTCCCTCGCCGCTTCTCCTCACTCCTGGCTCCCTCCCTTGCTCTCCCCCTGCATACTGGGTGCTGCTCCTCACTCTCCTCCGCCTCCGCCTCCGCCACGTCCGTTGTATCCCAGATTCTCCTCCGCCTGCTCGTCCTCGTCCTCCTCCACCTCATCCTCCTCGTCCTCATCATCACCACCATCATCTTCATCTACATGTTCATCTTCATTGTCATCATCATCATCACCATCACCAGTATCATCACCATCACAATCATCATCAGCAGCATCATCATCATCCTCATCATCATGAGCAGCATCACCATCATCATATCACTACAATAGATTCGGTGCTCACTGCAGTACTGACTGGGCGCTCCCCTCCCCCGCCGCCGTTATTTTGAACTGATGTTGGCCGGCGAGCCCGCCGCCTTTTTGTTGTCGCCTAATTGTGGTTGCGGTTGCGCCCGCGGGCGGGTTGAAACGTGTCGCTTCGTGGGGAGTTGAAAAGTACCGCCATTCCGCGTCCCGCGGCACGCCCTTTAATAGAATTGCACATCTTTCTCTGAAGAGTCGCGTTGCACGGCATGCTCTTCAGAGGAACTCAAAATGTTTACCGATGAGAGAATCGTATTATTTGCATTCTTGTTTTACGCGGACAAATATTAATTTCTTGTTTTTTTGGTTTGACGTCCCGTCCATTGGTTCGTATTATTTTCTTTTCCATTTTATCACTCTGATCATTTGAGTTCCGATTATTTTGTTGTGTTCGTTGCAGTTTTATTCACCATTACAAAAAGAAGCCCGCCTGAATAATTCCGCACTGGTTACAAGACGATTCGCCGCCAACTGTTTATGGGGAGTCCTAACTGATTTGCATTCGTGTCTTGCCTCGCCGCCGTTTGTTCGATGCGTCAGTTGCCGTTTCAGGTTTCTTCCTCCGCCTCCCGCTGATTCTTCATATAGCGTATGTGTGATTGCTCCCAGTGTGATATCATCACCGTCATCATCATCACCAACAACAGCATCATCAGCATCACCACCACCACCATCATTATCAGCATCGTCGTCATCATCAGCATCAGCATCATCATCATCATCATCATCATCATCATCAGCATCATCATCATCATCATCGTCCTCATCGTTATCGTCATCGTTATTGTTATCGTTATTACCATCATCAGCAGCATCAGCAGCATCACCATCAGCATCATCCGCAACATTCTCATCATCGTCACCAATAGCATCGTCATTTGCATCAGCAGCATCATCACCATCATCACCACCAGCAGCATAATCATCAGCATCATCCGCATCAGCATCATCATCAGCAGCATCATCATGATGATCAGGATCAGCAGCATCATCATCATCATCATCATCATCATCATCATCATCATCATCATCATCAGCATCATCATCATCATCACCACCGTCATCGTCATCGTCGTCGTCGTTTTCTCGCCTGTCGTCGTCAATTGCATAATCAGCATGATCCTGCCCCTTGCGAGTTGCATGATGGAACCGCGGCCCAGTGCTGGTCCTACGCCCCCACACGTGGTTACAGAGCAGGGGCCTCCTGACCCTTCCTCGAAGGAGCCCGAGCAGGTGGCAACTAACCCGCGTTGGGAGACGTCTATGCAACTTGATTGCCGAGGAATGGAACCCAAGCATTTGGAGGATGGACAATGAAATGGACTGCATTTGGATATCTCCGCCAGCACCCCCTTAGAGAGGCACCCTCTTCCTCCTCCTCCTCCTCCTCCTCCTCCTCCTCCTTTTCCTCCCCCTCCCCCTCGCTCGTCCTTGCTCCTCCTCGTTCCTCCTCCTCCGCCTTTTCCTCCTCCCGCCCCTGGTCGTCATGCTTTCCCTCTTCATCTTGCTGCGGCTCCTCCTTGTTCTATTCATCTCTCCTCCTTGTCCTCGTCCTATCCCTCATCATCGTCGTCGACAGCCTCATAGTGTATCTCATCTTCCTTCCCCTTCTCAGTTTTTGTCTTCCTCGTTATCCTTTTCCTTCCCCTGCTCCGCCTCATCCTCGTCCTGCGCCACATCTTCATGTTTCAAACGCTCTTGCGTCTGGGGGTCTTCGTGTTTTCGTTTTGAATCCGCAGCACCGCGCGTCTCCCTCCTTTCCGCCTCCCCCTCTCCCTTTTCCTCGTTTCCCTCACGCGGATCGTGCCCCACCGGGAGCTCCATGTACGGCCACAGTGGAGGAACTCGCATAGCGTCGCCAGACAATTTTGGACCACCCTTTACATGGATCATGCCCCATACGGAGGTCCAATTACCAGCGGGGACGTTCCTACAACGTCCTTGCGCCCATTTCGCCACACCTTGCACACGGATTGTGCCCCAGGGGGAGCTCCACCTTCAGCCCCTGTGGGGCGCGTTCCCATGATCCTCGTGAGAATTAACATCGACAGCGCGTTACGTGCGAAGTACTTGCTGGCGCCCCCATTTTCCAATGTTTGTCATTGTGGAACTTCTGAGTGGCGCCAGCTCAGACCGCGTTTCGGTCTGCTTCAACATTGAAGGAGTCGAGACTGAAGGGGCGAAGGGAAGAGAGATTGAAAAGGTGAGTCGACAACTTCTGAAGTCAACTTTGTCGAGGACTGGCCGCGCGAAATGAATGCGAAGGCGAGCCGACTGGCAGCGACTGGTTGACGGTCTCGGCGTACGCACATCCCGATTGACTTTGCAGCAATTGCAATCAACTTCAGGAGCGTTCCGTACTGATTCCTCTCGCTCCAGATTGAACTTTGCTGAAGTAGTCAAACGTTCTTCTGCATAAGAAATCCATTGTTAAGAAGCCTCAGCAACTTGAGCCAGTCTGAGTCTGTCCGGAGTTTGCAGCCGTAGTTGCCATTTGTTTACAATGCAATCGGCCTTGGTGGCACTGCTGCGTATCAAATCACATCCTTCGGTTTCGCCCCCCTGGGCGGGTCGCGCCGGTTCGCGCGACAGCCTGGGTCAGAATCTGCCATCCGCCATCCTGCATGGATACAGGAACAGAGAGACTGAGGCATCATGCGGGTTAAGTGAGACAGTGAGAATGTGCCATGAGGACGTTTGAAACGAACTGCCCTCGCCAAACCTAACCCCAAAAGTACTTTACGCGCGAAGGGGTTGTTGACGCTCGCTCTTCAATGTCGGTCATCGTGGAACTTCCAAATCGCGCCGGCCCAGACCGCGTCCCGTTTGCTTAGACATTGACGGGGGTGAGATTGAAGGGGCGAAAGGAAGCGAGAATGTTTGAGGTTAAATTTGACATGGGTTGTATGACTTCACCGCGCTCATTTGGGGCACACAGACCACGCACGCACATATCACCCGGACCATGCTCCATGTGGAGTTTCACCTACGGCTTCAGCGGTTGCGTTCCTATAGCGTATTTGCCCCCAGCTCTGCACGCCATCGTTCAGATCGCGCCCCAAAGGGAGTCCCTTCTACGGCCCCAGTGTGTGTGGGGCGTTCCTACAGCGTTCCTCCCGCGCCCAGTTCGGCACACCCCTGAATCAGATCGCAACCCGCAGGGGGCTTCATCAGCGGCACCATGGAGGGCGTTCCTTCAGCGTCTCCGTGTCGGCACACCCCTCGCACGGATCGTGCCCCACAGGGAGCTCCCTCTGTGGCTCCAATGGGGCAATTTCGGCACACCGCTCACACGTGCTCACCCGGATGGGGAACCCAGCGCACCTCTGCACGCCTGCTTCGCAGCCCCCTCCTCCGTACTGCCCTGAATTGTTTCAGGCTTCGCGTGTTCCCGCCAGCCCGTTCAGAAACCCTGTCCACGAGAGCTGACGGGAAAAGGGACGAAGAAACATACAGTGAAACAAGCAAAGCGGACAGCCAGGGTCAACAGAGAGTTCTCTGGGAGCAAGGGGGGGGGCCTTGGAGGGCCTCGTCGGACCATCCCTGGGGCCCGCATGGGGGCAAGGGGAGGAGGAGGAGGAGGAGGAGGAGGAGGAGGAGGAGGAGGAGGAGGAGGAGGAGGGGGAGGAGGAGGAGGAGGAGGAGGAGGACAACGAGGCCAAGGACAGAGCCCTCAAAATCGCCCCTGGGACTCTTTTGGAGGATCGTGGGGTCCTCTTGGAGCTCTTTTGGGAACTCTTGAGGCCCTGTTGCGGCCCTCTTGGGGGTCCCTTGGAAGCCCTG